CCTACTCACCTTTTTCTCTATTCTTCTAACCAAAAGGTTTGAAAAGGCAGAGAGGGGAATTTTTATGATATGCCATGAAAAGGAAATCTTTGTATTATTCACTGTAGAACGTACTGTTTCAATTCCTAGTATTATTGTCTTTCTTCTCCCTTAGACTCTGAACCTGAGGGTAGGAAATAGGGTTTCACTGCCTCCCACTCTGTTTGGCATGTAATAAGTTCTTAGTGGGTTAACCTTAAATAAACAAAGCTATTAAATGCTCAATACCATGTTAGTGTCTAAAACTCAACAGTATAGTTTTATATTTTACCAAAACCCCACTTGTACATGATATATTGGAACAATAGAATAAAGAAGGATGAAGACTGGCTTAGTTATATTCACAGACTTACTTTGGTGCAGAGGAATTTTGTTTTGGGTTACACAGAGTTGTGCAAAATTTTGATAAGTTATAGTGAATTCTTTCCCTAACAATCACCCACAAGGGTCAAGATTTCTGTAATATTTTATGGTGATAAAACGTGCTTAGGTAAGTGTGATCAAGTTTAAACTTCTAACAATTCTTCAGTTTTGAAAATAACACTCATTGAATGTATTCTGGAAATAAAGTAGGAGTCTATGCAGACTTGAATGAAGGACAAGATCCTCAAGGGGCACCAGAGAATAAAACTTATGAAGTTAATCACAGAAAGTTAGCTTATGTCTTTTGATTTTTATGATTAAAAATCAGTGTTTTATTAGCATGTAGGAAACACACTCCTGCTGGGTACATGGTTCAAGCCTGTAATCATAGGTATATGGGAGGCAAAGATTGGAGGATCATAGTTCAAGGCTAGCCTAAGCATAAATATTCATGAAACTCCATCTCAACCAATGGCTGAGAGAGGCGGTGTCCACCTGTTATTCCAGTTATGGGGGAAGCACTTCTGTGATGTATGACTTTAATTTTCTGGAACCTCCATCTCTCTGTGACTCTTGCTCCCCATTCTCCTTTCCTTAGGTGCTCATCCTCCTCTCTGACCAAATTCACTCTAAAGAAAGTGTCTGAGAGCCGAACTTAGCAAGCAGAATGGAAATCCTTGTGTCCTGAAGTCCTGGCTTTATTTCTTCTCATGTGTAATTTCACACTAAACAAGTTATGACAGATGTTGCCTCTACTACAACATCCCCAAATGCAAAAGTTTCCATTAAAGAAGCAAAGTAAAGTTAATACAGTTACATATACTGAAAATTTGGACATAACATATTATCTGTATTTCTAGTATTAACCTGTGTTTTCTTTTAGGAAATGACAGTAACTACTAGATGGATGGTGCTTTATTTTTTTTATTCTGTCAGTTATAGGGCTTGAACTCAGGATCTGGATGCTGCCCCTGAACTTTTGTGCTCAAGGCCAGTACTCTTCCATTTGAGCCACAGCTCCACTTCTGACTTTTTTGGTGGTTAATTGGAGATAAGCATCTCACAGACTTTCCATCTAGGGCTAGCTTAGAAATGAGGTCCTCAGATTTTATCCTCCTGAGTAGCTAGGATTACAAGAGTGAGCCATTGGCATCTAGCTCAATTATTTCATTGATTAAAAAATCCAGTGGGGGCCGGGTGCCGGTGGCTCACACCTGTAATCCTAGCTGCTTAGGAGGCTGAGATCTGAGGATTGCAGTTCAAAGCCAGCCCGGGCAGGAAAGTCTGTGAGACTCTTATATCCAATAAACCACCAGAAGACCAGAAGTGGTGCTGTGGCTCAAGTGGTAGAGTGCTTGCCTGAGCTGAAGAGCTGAGGGACAGCGCCCAGGCCCAGAGTTCAAGCTCCACATCCGACAAAAAAAATCCAGCGGGGCGCCAGTGGCTCAGGAAACAGATCTGAGGATCTTGGTTCAGACAGGAAAATCAGGGAGACTCTAATAAACTACTCAGAAAACACCGGAAGTGTTGCTATGAATCAAGTGGTAGAGCACTAGTCTAGAGCACAAAGAAGCTCAGGGACATCACCCAGGCCCTGAGTTCAAGCCCTACGATGGGCAAAAAATTCCCAGAAAGAAATAGGATTTTCCCAATGCAAGTCAGGAGTAGGATATGACTATTACTTTACTTCAGACTAGCATTCCTCACACAGCATGTCAACTTTGACAAACTTATTTTGATAAATCCTTCAGTGATGCACTAATTAATCACGCAGTGTGTGTCATTGCCACTTCTTTACAGAAATCTAAACACATGCACACACACACACACATGCGCGCACACACACACACACACACACACACACACACAAAGTTAGGCCACATACTGGTTGCTTCTGGTTGTAATCCTAGCAACTGTGGAGGCTGAGAATACAATGAATGAAGTTTGAAGCCAGCCTGGGATGAAAAGGTCACAAGACCTTTTCTCAACCCATACCTGAGCTCAGTGTCTCATCCTTGTCATCCTAGCTACAACAGAATTGTGATCAATAGGGCCACAATTCCAGGCCAGCCCAGGTAGAAAAGTCTCTGGAGCTCCACTGCAACAGAAGAAGCGGTATGTGCTTATTATCTCAGCTATGATGCGAAGATAAAATAGGCAGATTAAGGTCCAAGTGCGTGTCTGGTCAGGAATTGAGATATATCTAAAAAAAATAACCAGTGCAAAAAAAGAGTTAGAGGAGTGACTTAAGTGGTAGAGTGCTTGCCTAGCAAGTATAAGGTCTGGAGATAACATTCCAGTAGCACCACCGAAAAGAAAAGATAGTGCAGATCAAAATATGACTGATTTCTACTATGCATTAAATTTTTCTCTTAACCTACTGGTATGGGAAGGACTTAGCAAGCCTCGGGAGCTCATCACAGTAACCTTGAGCAGGCAGAGAACTTCATCACTGCAAATCTAGTTGCAATTAGATCACAGGATATAGTATTTTAGATTTTAACATCACTATGTTAGAATGGAAATTAACCTAAGGACTTGACCATCAGAGGACAAGAACCATTATGCTACTAGGAAAATAGAAATGATTACTCTGACTCTATTTTTTAGAATGAAATGAATATAAGATAAAGACTTTGGTTTGCCCGCAAAGAAAGGTATCTCTAAAGACTACTCCTTTTTAGCCAGGCATTGGTGGCTAACACCTGTAATCCTAGCTATTCAGGAGGCTGAGATCTGAGGATTGTGGTTTGAAGCCTGCCTGGGCAGAACAATCCCCATGAGACACTTATTTCCAATTAACCACTAAAAAATCTGGAAGTAGAGCTGTGGCTCAAGTGGTAGAATGCTAGCCTTGAGCACAAATAAGCCCCACAGTTCCCAGGCCCCAAGTTCAAGTCCCATAACTGACAAAAAAGAAAAAAGAAGAGTACTCATTTTCGTTTTCCATTTACACTCAGAACTTGTGACATGATTTAAGAGAACTATATAATTTTGTGATTCTAATATAAAAATAGCATCCTAGTACCAGGGCTTGAACTCATGTCCTTGTTAAACTTTCTTGTTCACAGTGGACACTTTACCACTTGAGCCATGCTTCCTGTCAGTATTTTGTTGATTAATTGGAGATGGAATTTCCCATACTTTTCTGCCCCGACTGGCTTCAAACCTCGATTCTCTGGATCTAAACCTCCTGAGTAGCTAGGATCACAGGCATGAGCCACCAATACCTAGCATAACATTTTGATATTTTCGTATCTATTTGGTACATGATATTCTTTATTATTATATAATGTTGTTCTATATCTATTTGGGATTGCTATCTTTTTAGACCTCTATTTTTCTTCTTTATTTATTATTTATTATTTTTTGTCAGTTGTGGGCCTTGAACTCTGGGCCTGAGTGCTGTCCCTCAGCTCTTCAGCTCAAGGCAAGCGCTCTACCACTTGAGCTACAGCACCACTTCCGGTTTTTCTGGTGGTTTATTGGAGATAGGAGTCTCACGGAGTTTCCTGCCCGGACTGGCTTTGAACCATGATCCTCAGATCTCAGCCTCCTGAGTAGCTAGGATTACAGGCGTGAGCCACCTGTGCCCGGCTTCTTTATGTTTTGTGTGTGTGTGTGTGTGTGTGTGCGCTGATACTGGGGCTTGAACTCTTGGCCTCTTGCTTTCACTTGACTTTTTTAAAAAAATTTTTGTTGGTCATGTGGCTTGAGCTCTGGGTCTGAGCGCTGTCCCTCAGCTCTTCAAGGCTAGCTCTATACCACTTGAGCAATAGTGCCACTTCCAGTTTTCTGGTGGTTTTATTGGAGATAAGAGTTTCATGGCTTTTCCTGCATGGGCTGGCTTTGAACCACAATCCTCAGATCTCAGCCTCCTGGGTAGATAGGATTACAGATGTGAGCCACTGGCACCTGGCTAACTTGGCTTTTTGAGTCATGGATGACCCTCTGTACTTAAGCTGTGCCTCAGTTCTCATGAATTTGTCTTCCTGAGCTGCTGGCTTTGAACCCTGATCGTTGGATTGCAGCCTCCTGAGTAGCTAGGATAATAGGTATGAGCCATTGGTGTTTGGCTTATTTTATTTATGTATTTGTGTTTTATGTATGTATTTATGTGCAGAACAATGGACTGAACTCAGGGCCTTGCAATTGCTAGGCAAGTGCTTTTCCACTGAGCTAAATACACAGCCCCAACTCTTTACATTTTTATATTTTTACTTTTTATTTTTGTTGGTTGTGGGGCTTGAACTCAGGGCCTGGGTGCAGTCCCTGAGCTTTTCTGCTTAAAGCTACACTCTACCACGTTGAGCCACAGAGCCCCTTGCAGTTTCCTGGTGGTTAATTGAAGATAAGAGTCTCACAGACTTTCTGCCCGATTGCCTTTGAACTGTGGATTCTCAGATCTCAGCCTCCTGGATAGCTAGGATTACAAGTGTGAGCCACCAGTGCATGGCCAAGTCTTTACATTTAAGAGCAATTTTAAACTTATAGAAAAATTGAGAGCAAGGTATAGAGTTTTCCCACATGGATATTGAAATTGCTCCCCTTGTCAACACCTTCCTTTTGAGTAACACTTTTTTTTTTTTTTTTTACAGTCGATGAACTGATGCCATCACATCATTATCATCTAAGGTCCATAGTTTTCTTATACTTTGCTCTTGGTGTTGTGTGTTCTATGGGTCAGGAGAGATGCATGAAATACATTCATCTAAGTATCATACAGAGTATTTTCATTGTTCTGAGAGTCACCTGAGTTTCATCTACTCATCCATTCCCCACCACCTCTAGTAACCACTGATCTTTTGCTAGATGTGCAGTGTTGTCTTTCCACAAAGCTCTATAGCTGGAATCATACATATATAGCTTTCCCACCTTGTCTTTTTTCACTTAGCAGTGTGAATTTAAGTTTCTTCTATATCTTTTCATGTCTTCATAGCTTGTTTTTTTTTAGTTTGGAATAACCCCTAGATTCTTCATTTTCTGTGCCAGTACGGGGCTTGAACTCAGGACCTGAATGCTGACCCTGAGCTTTTTTTTCTCAAGGCTGGTGCTCTGCCACTTGAGGCACAGTACCACTTCAAGTTTTCTGGTGGTTACTTGGAGATAAGAGTCTCATAGACTTTTCTGCTGTGGCTGGCTTCAAACTGCAATCTTCAGATCACAGTCTCTTGAGTAGCTAGGATTACAGGTGTGAGCCGCCGTGCCCTGCTAACATTTTCTTTTTAAGTTGGAAAATTAATTACTGCTAAATTCATGAAATCTAACCAATCAGAAAAGCATAAAAACTCTGTGACTTCCATAATCAAATATTACCACTGTTAACATTTGTCTTTCTGAACATAAACACACAGGTAATTGTGGGGTTTTTTTGGAAAATAGCATACTGTACAGTTATTTTCCTAGTTGTTTTTTCACTTACCACATTACTTCACCAGTACATATATTTTTATTATTATCTTTAAGTAATTGTACAAATGAGTTGCCATTTAACAAAGCAATTTATGAATACAATCTTCTTGACTGTATTCTCCCCCTCTTCATTCACCTACTCTTTTCCCTTTGACCCCACCCCACCCTTTTGAGCACCTGCTTCCTGGCATTTTACTTTACTGAACTTTGATTTTGCTGTTCTAAGGAATTACACTATTTGAGTTCTCCCTTGAATCTACCATATTTCAATTAATGCATTTGTATATACTTGCATACCACCCAATGTATTTACTTATATGTTTATAAGCTAATTCTAGCTTTTACATATAAGAGAAAACATGGATCCTTTGTCTCTCTGAGCCTGACTTACTTCATTTAACGTAAATTTTTTCCAGGTCTTTCAATTTCTTTATGAATGGTACAATATCATCCTAATGGATGAATAAAATTCCATTGTGTGTATACCACATTTTCTTGATCCATTTATCCATTAAGGGGCATCTGGGCTGTTTCCATAACTTGGCTATGATGAATAGTTTCACAATGAACATGGTTGTTTACCAGTTCATTAATTTTTTTGTTTTAATTTTATTTATTTTATTTTTTTGTTTATGTGGTACTGAGGAATCAAACCCAGGGCTTCAGGCACCATAGACAAGCATTCTACCACTAAGCCACATTGCTAGCCCCTACCAGTTCATTTTTATATCACATTAGTTTTACTTCATCATTCGAATACAAAATAGAATCACATTATTCAAATTTCAGATGACATACAAAGGTGAATAAGGACATCTTTTGTCCTTGTCTTTGTTTCTGTTCACTCTTTTGCTCTTCCACAAGTGTTTTCTTAAACAAGGTCTTTTTTTTTTGGCTCATCCTGGGGCTTGAACTCAGAGCCTGGGTGCTGTACCTGACCTTTTTTGCTCAAGGCTAGTAATCTACCACTTTGAGCCACAGCACCACTTCGTTTTCTAGTGGTTAATTGGAAACAAGAGTTTCATGGACTGTCTTGCCCAGGCTGGCTTTGAACTGTGATAATCAGATCTCAACCTCCTTAGTAGCTAGGAGTGTAGGTATGAGTCACTGATGCTTGGCTTAAACTAGTCTTTTGTGCACAATCTCATCGCTTTCTTTTAAAACAAGATAAAAAATATTTTATTTTTGTCTCATAGCTTTTTAAAAAGAATATATAAAATTATATTTTGATTTTACACCTCTTCCCATTTTTGAAAGCAAAATATGGCATTCTAAGTGTTCTGTTTTGTTTCTTTTTATTATCTTCATAATGTTTCTTATGAATCTTTCTACAGTGACACCAAGAGAAGTTTCTCATGCAGGAGTGGGAAACATTTCTCCTGCCAAGGGCTCTTTGGAAATTTATAACATCATTCATGGCCATACAGAATTATCAGTACAGGTAGTTTTCCGGCCTTAGGCAGCTGATAAGAAGCACATATGTCTGTACTGTCACATATCAAATGATTTTGTTGACCTTACATGGCTTCCAGGCTTTGTGTATTCTACTTCATGGATGCTTTATAATTTGACTAGTGTTCCAGCTATTCTGGAGGTAGAGATCAAGAAGACTTCACTTCAAGGCTAGTCCAGGCCATAAAGTCAGTGAGGCTGTATGTCAACAAATAAGTTGGGCACAATGGTACATTTCTGTGATTCCTTCAATGTAAGAGGCATAGATAGGGGATTTGTCAGATGCTCTAAAATTTTAATCTCCTGAGTAGCTAGGATTATAAGAATGAGTCAGAGATATCCATCTTGATCAACTCTTAAAAACAAAGTAGTGCCAACAACATGCCAGTTGCTCATACTCATAATCCTATTCAGGAGGCTGAGATCTGAGAATCACAGTTCAAAACCAGCCCAGGCAGGTGAGTTTGTGAGATGCTTATCGCAATTAACTACCAAAAATGCCAGAAGTGGAGCTGTGGCTCAAGTGGTAGAGTACTAGCCTTGAGGAAAAAACCACAGATACAGTGCCCAGGCCTTGAGTTCAAGTCCCAGGACCAGCTAATGCATGCACATGCACACACACACACACACACACACACACACACACACACACACACACACACACACACACACACACACACACCAAAGCAGTGCCAAAGAATATATTCCTTAATATACAAAGATTATATTGTATTTGGAGTTATTTCTTCAGGTACTTATGCAGTAACTTTGGCTACTTTCTTCATTACTTAATAGCAAATAACTTAGATCAGGTCTTTTTTGTGATTTATGACTTCTTGGAAAGTAGTTGACTGGAGTTAAAGTGCTGATGGATGGTGAAGCAACCATCCAGTTGCATTAAATCCTGCTATCTTCAGCTCTACATGGAGACAACTAGAATTACTTAGGTCCAAAGAGAGTAGGAGTATGTCAGTTAACATGTCAGGATATGCTCAGAAGCCAGAGGAAAGAGTGTATATTTGGCCATGTTTTTAGAAAAGTAATAGGCCCAGATGCCTTGAGGGATGTATGATCACATAGATCATATATTCTAGAAAGATCATCAGACCAGATGAACTAGTTTGGAAACATCCTACCTGCTAAAGCTGGTTACTTTTTGTACACTTGTGTAGTAAACACTTAACTTTTACTGGTAATATTTTATACATTCATAATACAGGAATCTCCCTGCAGCTTTGTACAATTTAGGTTGTATTTTGCACTGGAGGCATATGACCAAATTCATTTGGAAAATATTTTGTAACTCCACTGTTTCTGAGGATTGAGAAATGTGCAGACCCAGATAAGGTTACTTAACTGTTTTAATCTCTGTCATGCTTTTAGATCCCATGCCAAATAAATGCATTTTGGGTATACTACAAGGGGATGGGTCAGGGGAGGATGTTGAGAAACTTGAACAGAACATCTCTTTTTATTTGAATATTCCTTCAGTTGTGTGTTTGAATATATTCTAAGATCTCTACCCAGTTTAGAAGTTCTCTTACCTGACAAATGGAATTTCCCTTTTCCCTTACCCCACCCAGTGATCTTGCAGACATCACAAGGATTATAAATGAATCTGTTAAATGCTTGCTATTATTCTTTAACAATTCAAGACAAACAATTGAAGTGTTTCTGGCAAGTAGATTTTTCTTGTAAATGGCATCAAGAGGAAACTGGAATGCTGCCATTGGCCTTTTAACCTTAATTAAGATTATCTAATATGTAAATGCAGGAAGACTTGCAAAACAGCATTACAGCTTTTCTGGCTTTTGGGGCCACATTACTTATCCATTTCTTTTGTTTTTGAATTCTCTTTATTGTCATTGCTGATTAACTGTGAGCATTCTTCTAAAATTCAATATCCTGCTTTCTCTTCCTCCACAAGGACCCATTAGCATTCATTATCTCAGCTGATCCATTATGTGGTTAACTCACTGCTTTCAACCCTCTCCTATTAAATTTCAATTACTGTATGTTCAGACTCTTTATTTGTCCTTGGGGATATAAGTCAAGCTCTTTCCTTAGGTTTGAGTATTCAATTTGACAGTGTTTGACATATATTCCAATTCCCTCAATGCCTTTAATTTAAATTAATTTAACACTATTACCTCTCCAGTAAGCACTTGGAACTTAGGAAAGGAGTCAATATACATGTGCTAAAATGGAATCAGGTAACTTGAGGGGATGGGTGGGGTTGAGAGAGATGGGGGAGAAGAATGGCAGTGGTGACATTGATCAACTTGCATTGTGGAAGTGGAGCTGTGACTCAAGGAGTAGAGCAACAGCCTTAAGTGAAGAAAGCTAAGGGACAGTGTCTCAACCCCAGTATGGACACACAAATAAGGGAGATGCATTGTAATCATAAACTGATAAGTTGAATTGAAACTCATTTGTAAACTACTTAAAGATAATAAAAGATGTGAAGAAAACTTCCAGCAGATAGTATTTTGATAATATGCTGCCCTGCCTCTCTCCCTTCCTGTCACTGTTGTTATTCTATGCTTAGCTTCTGGCTTAATTCTCAGATCCCAATCATCAAAGGATAGAACTTCAGAGAAAAAGTGGACAGACAAATTCAGTGGATTGCACCTCAATTATTAAAAATGTCCTCTAGCTGGGTGCTGGTGTAATCCTAGCTACTGAAGATTGCAGTTCAAAGCCAGCTCTGGCAGGAAAGTCTGTGAGACTCTTATCTCCAATTAACCACTCCAAAAGCCAGAAGTGGAGCT